CAATCTCTCCAAATTGTGGAAGAATAACTCCTTTCCATTTGTGAAATTATTCTTCAAAAACCCAAGCCTCCGAGACTCCTATATACATGGCTACACCAAGGGTTGAGGTAATTCTAAACTTTTGTCTAAAACTCTGCAAAAATCATTTCTCATAAACCCTAGTCGAATACTCTCTCTCTCTCTCTCTCTCTCTCTCTCTCTCTCTCTCATACAAGGCTTCAGTCACCACACATAGCTCCGGCCACTCGGTTCTCACCCTAAAGAAATCTTCGTACCCTTTGTTAGCTATTGTTTTTCCTACAAACACTCGACCTAACTTAGGCATCAAAGGGCCTTTGTCCAACACCCATCGGATGTGGTCTTTTACTCCGTATTATTATGCAGGAAGAAAGAGAAGAGAAGAGGAAGACGGAATCTTCAGACGAATATTCTTTGGGGATGAAAATCGCTCCCATAATCTCTATGAGGAAATCTACATGATCTCTCCACCTGATCTTCGGTGACAAGGGGAGAACTTGATATGTTGCCTTCATAAATTTCTTACGATTTAAGGTAAGCTTCTCGTCAATGGTTTGCTAAGTTTTCTCAGGCCCTTTGTTCCACTGGTTACGTTCAGTCTAAAGCTAACTATTCCTTATTTACTCGCAATAAGGGGCAATCTTTCACAGCATTATTGATTTATGTTGAAGACATTGTAATTACGGGTAATGACCCTACATCTATCTCGGCACTCAAGGATTTTTGCACAGTCATCTTGGAATATTTTTTGGGGATTGAGATATCAACATCAAAGAAAGGTATTTTCTTATCCCAGCACAAGTATGCGTTGGAAATTTTGAAGGATGCAAAGCTCCTATGTGCCACACATTTTGATTTTCCTATGGAAAAAGGTCTTAAGCTTTCTAATAAGGGTGAATTGCTTAAAGATCCAACTAATTATAGAAGACTTGTTGGTCGTTTGATTTATCTAACCATCACGAGGCCAATTATTACTTATTATGCTCATGTCTTAAGCATGTTTATGCATGCCCACGTAAACCTCACATGGAGGCGGCGCTTTGCACTCTTCGTTATTTGAAGAACACTGGTCAAGAGATATTGTTGTCTTCTCAAATTGACTTGACTTTGTGTGCATTCTGTGATTTTGATTGGGCAGGTTGTCCTAATACTAAAAGGTATACTACACGATATTATGTGTTTCTGGGATCTTCTTTAATTTCATGGAGTTGAAGCAAATCGTATCTTTGTCTTCAGCAGAAGCCGAATATAGATCTATGGCAGCGACATGTTGTGAGTTGTCTTGGCTTTGATCTCTTCTCAAGGATTTGCGCATCCTTCATTGCCAATTTGCTTTGCTATATTGTGACAACAAGGCAACTTTACATATTGCCGCTGACCCAGTAGTTCATGAGAGAACAAGATATATTGAAATGGATTGCCATTTTATTCAGGAAAAAATTTAGGAAGGTTTGATTGCTACACAACATGTGAGTTCGTCCTCTCAGTTGGCCAATATTCTTACCAAAGCATTGGGAAAAGAAGAATTCAACAATCTTGTTCACAAGTTGAGAGTTTTTGTTATCTACTCTCCAACTTGAGGGGGAGTGTTAAGAAATCAATTTGTATAATGACCAAAATGGTCCCCCAACTATTGCTCCAATATCATTTGGTCCACCAAATAAAATTTTCATTTAAACTGTCCTTAAACTTTTCATTTGGTATCAAAATGATCCTACCGTCAAAGTCTGTCAACATGGTTAAATTGAGGGGTAAAACCGTCCATATAAATTAAACCCCATCTCAGCTCTCAGCTCTCCCCTTCCCCAAACTCCCCTCTGTTTTATTTTTCTCATCTACAATAACATACGCACAACTTTCCTCAATTTTTGGGCGATATCATTTCCTCAATTTTTTGCCCAAATTAGAATCTTGGGGCTTGGGGCTGGGGCTGGGGCTGTGGGTTGCGGGTGGATATGAGGTGGTCAGGTCATGAGGAAGAATAAGCAGATGGGTGTGTTGGGGGAGGTTGCAGAGTTGGGATGCAAGGCAGTGTTTTTGTATAAATTGTTAGGTCAATCTCACCCAAAAAAAAAGCCATGTGGCTAGTGAGATTCAATTTTTTAAAATTTTATAAGTTTTATAATAATTTCCTTTAATTTTTAATTATATACTACTATTTAAATTCATAGAGACATTTTTACCCTTCAATTTAACAATAAAATTAACAGACTTTGACGGTAGGATCGTTTTGATACCAAATGAAAAGTTTAAGGACGGTTCAAATGAAATTTTAGTTGGTGGACCCAAATGATACTGGAGCAATAGTTGGGGGATCATTTCGGTCATTAACCCTATCTATTAATATCAATCATATTGTAATTCGGATTTTGCTTTCTAATTGGTTTCCTAGATTACATGATTAATTTCCTTATACATTATTATACTCTAGTATAAATCAATTGTACCTATCAATGAAAAGATCATTCTAGTCAAATATCAATTTCTCAAAGCTTGCCTTTGCCACCATCTTCCTCTCTCACATATAAACTCAAAACAAATATTACTTTTCAAAATCCAATACCAAAACCATGATTTTTTTGTTTGTTTATCAAGTTTGTCTTTTTATCAAAATTGTAAACGAACATTTAAGACTTGTAAATTTGATTAAGCTTAAAGATTTAACCATCTTCAAGAAATGGTACCATGAGGGTGCTACTTTTGAACTGCGAGACTCTTGTTAACGCATCAACTTTGGGCCCAAGTGGGTCAGGGGAGTGAAGGACGCTGGTAATTTTCGTTGAACAATGACCAAGTTTTAAGAACAAGATGCCAAAGAAGATGCTTTATTTTAGTGTCCCAAATAGTGGATGTCGTAGTTGTTGCATTGTATATAAAAATGATTTCTTTTGGGAAACTTGACGTTATTTCCACTGGGATAAAAGATTGAAATTGTCTTTTTATCAAGTTTTGAGTGTGGTTGGTGTCACTTCATTAATTGATGACTAAGTACTTAACCAGAACTTTCCATGATTCTGACCTTCCTTCCAAGTAAATGAAGTAAACATCAAAAGGTTTATTCCATTCCATGCCCCCACAAAAGACCCCCCACCTTACCTTCTTTTCCCTAACCCCCCCCAACAAAAACATTATATAAATAGATCAAGTAACCAACTTTATAAAAGAAAAGAAGAAAAGAAGAAAGAGAAACAGCTATAAACTATAGAAAGCTTAATCAGGTATGCAAAAGAGAGGGAGGCAATTGATTCTCATGTAATTGAGTGCCCTATCACTCCACCAACTAATATAATTTGACTGATCATATTCATAGTTTAAGAAGTATGATTGCAAATGCTGCTTAGTTAAGTTCCCATTATACTCCATCCTCTGGTTATGAGAAAATAATGGTCTGAACGAGTCCTCTTTTGGAGAAAAACTTACTTATACCTGGGATATCACTGTGGTGCTATCCCGAACCAATCATTTATTGTTATGTGTTTTAACTTTCTGATATGGTAGTGCGTAATATGTTTAAAATAGCACAAGAATGACATTTCAATTACATGTTAAGTTCTCCCTTTTTGTGCTTAAAGGCTGTATCCTGTTGGCTAATATACTTCAATCTTTTGCTGAAGACACTTTAAAGTCTCTTTCGGCTACACGTAATTTTGAAAATAGTAATTTCTTCTTTGACCTTTCACATCGGTGGCCAATGTCTAAACAAATTTGCATTTGCATAGTAATCTTCTTACTAACCAACGACATTGGTGGCAATGTTGGTCGATGGGGGTCACTTCATGAATGATTTGATTGAATCCTCGTACTGGCAAAATCATAAGTTAATGTTTCCTTTTAATGTAAGAACTGTAAGATTAACCATCAAATCTACCAGGTGGAGATTGTTAGCCAATTAAGATAACCCCCTACTCTT